TGCGACTTGAAGTCCATACATCTCAAAGCATGCTGGCTGGGGAATTCTGGGACTTGAAGTCCATACATCTCAAAGCATGCTGGCTGGGGAATTCTGGGAGCTGAAGTCCATGCATCTCAAAGCATGCTGGCTGGGGAATTCTGGGAGCTGAAGTCCATGCGTCTCAAAACATGCTGGCTGGGGAATTCTGGGAGTTGAAGTCCATGCATCTTCAAGTTGCCAGGGTTGACAAGCAGTGCCCTTGGGTCATAAGAGTTGGAATCGAATTCTGGAAACTTTCTCCTCCCCAGCCTTGGACAAAGCCCTTGCCTCCCTGCTGATCTGGGCTCCTTCCCTGGGTCCCCTCTTCTCCCTGCAGTGTTCGTGACGCTAACATGCGCTTTCCGCTACGGCCGCGAGGATCTGGACGTCCTGGGCCTCACCTTCCGCAAAGACCTTTTCGTGTCCAACATCCAGGCCTTCCCTCCGGTGGCCGAAGAGAAGAAGCCCTTGACGCGGCTGCAGGAACGGCTGGTGAAGAAGCTGGGGGAGCATGCGTACCCCTTTACTTTTGAGGTACAGACGCCCCCCCCCCCCCGTTCTGCTTTCAGCCTCCCGTTCCCATCCCTGCAGTCTGGGTAGCAAGGTCATCTTGAGTGATGTTCCTGTCTCAGGTAGGCTGTGGAGACAGAAAGGGGGTCTGCTCCCTTCCAGAGTGGCAGTGGGGTGGGAGGCATCCCAGTCGCCCCAGCCGGTGTGCCTGATGGGAGGGAAGGTGCTGGAGATACCTTCCAAGAACAACCCAGAAGCCAGGGGGGCCTTCTCCATCCCCAGCGTGGGCACACAAGTTTTCAAAGGGGGAGTCTTCACTTGTGGGCACGGCAGTCTTCGCCAAGAAGGCACCTTCCACAGGGAGGCAACAACTCTTGCCACCCCAGGCAGAATGATGGGTGTTGGAGTCCAGATGACACCAGCTTGAGGGTAGGCTGGTGCCTTTGGCAAGGGGGGTTGAAGCCCCCTTTTCTTCTTTTGCTTTGTTCCCATCTGGGTTTGTCATCTCTGCCATCTTCGCTCCTTTTCTGCTTTCTGTGGTTTTCTGGTTTTAAATGTTATGAATGAATGAATGAATGAATGAATGAATGAATGAATGAATGAATGGAAACCTTTCTTCTGCACTGGAGTCATTGGCAACTAATGACGCCTAAATGCATAAACCAAATAAACCAACCTACAGGGAGATATTTCTCCAACCTTCCCCTTTGTTCTGCTCTCCTCTGCTGGTCTCGGTGTAGCGGTCTTTGGCATCTCTGATCTTTTGATCAAAGGCACTGGTAAGGAGGAGACCTAGGAAGGGGGAACCTGCAAATCTACTCCAGGGGGATCCATGGGAGGGTCAAAAAGGTCAAGATGACAGCCATGGCCACTCTGTTACCATCTTGACCTTTCCACCACCTCCACCCCCATGGGAGCCCTGCTCACTACTCATCTTCCAGGTTAGCAACCAGCACACCAGGGAGGGGTATAGAGGCTTCCTCTGGTTGGGCACCCCCCCCCCAATTCTGCCTATTCGTGCGAGTGTTGGTTCAGTAGTTCAACTGGTAACAGCTGTATGTCACACTCAAGTGAATAGTGATAGTGGAAGAACTAGAAATGAGCTGGTGGCAAAATCGGGCCACCTTCTGGATGAATGCAGTCAGCAGATCACTGAGAAATGTACGAATGTGAAAAAGTTTACCGTTTCTTGGTTGTTTTAGGCCAGTGTTTCTCAACCTTGGCAGCTTTAAGATGAGTGGACCAACTCCCAGAATTCCCCAGCGAGCCATGCTGCTCTGAAACACTCACCTGCTGGCTGGGGAATACTGGGAGTTGAAGTCCACCCACCTTAAAGTTACCAAGGTTGAGAAACACTTTAGATGAAATGAATAGGCCTGGATTATAGACTGGTTTCTGCAAAGATGAAAATTCATTATTGAATGCAACGAGCAGATGAATGTCTGTACTTTGGTTAAAGATTTACTAAGGAGGGGAAATGGATGGAGAAATTTTAAGTTACACAAGTGATGGTAGATAGGCAGTGGATAATATGTGGTCTTTTGTGAGGAATGAATATTTCACCAACGAAGTGAAAATGGCTTGTGCTTCTGCATACTTTATTGCATGCAAGTGAGAGGTGGGAATGTCAGGAGCAGACTGAGAGGAAGTTGAATGGATGCTGTGGGAATGAGGCCCTGAATTATGCAAGAAGAGTTAGCGTGGAGAATAAAATCAGGAGGAGTCTGGTAGCCCAAGGTGATGTGTTGCTCCCGTAGAGTAACAGTGTGTAATGGTCTGTGAGAATGTCCTTGAGAGGCAGGAGGAAGAGGAGCTCAGACCAGGCAGCAGTCAGATAAGAGGCCGCTGAGCCCACAGAAGCAATGGGCGTGTGGCAAACATCTCAGAAGGACCCCCCTAGTTTCTTGGCCTGTGAAGGCGAGGGGAGGGGGAAATAGATGCACTTTCAGATTTGCAAGATTCTGTTAATGTAACCTTACAATAAATAAAGTGTTGGTCCTCCTAGTTAGAGCTTCGTGCCTGGACTACCTCTAAGAGCTGACACGGCGCTTTCTTCCTACAAGTTCAAGAATGAATGGGTGCTGAGTGAATGTGGTTGAATACAAAAAGTGAGTGACCGACAGGAAAGAAATACCTGGAGGAGACTGTGTCCTAGAGAAAGAGAGAGAGACAGAGAGAATGAATGAATGAATGAATGAATATTTAATCGTAAAGCAAATATAGGAAAGAGCAGTGAATGGGTTGAGAGGAAGAGGAAACCAAGGAAGCCGGTGCTTGGGTGGAAAGAGGAGAGAAGTTTAAGGAACAAAAAGTCGTGTATAAAACTGTACTGATGTAATAGAAGCAAAGAGGGTTTGTAAGGCATTGGGAGGTATAGGGAGTAGGCTTGACGTAAACTAGATATACCTCTGCTCTCTTTTTTTCTCTCATTTCTTTGACTTGCAATATTTTACGCTTTTTCTGCTCTCTGCATAACGCTGCAGCATTTATCAGTATGGCGAGGCTCGGACAGCGGGGAGCAGCACGGGTTGTTCCTTGTTTCCGCTTTCTAACGGGCGGTACAAGAGGGGTCTTGCCTTCTTGCACCGGTCAGTCTGGCTGTGCTGTGCTGTGATTCTCCTGTTTGCTTTTTTGCGCAGATTCCCCCCAACCTCCCCTGCTCTGTGACGCTGCAGCCTGGCCCCGAGGACACTGGAAAGGTACATGGGCGTGTGCAGCGGGTAGAGGAGCCCTAGACCCAGAGTGGGTGGGAAGGGGTCTTTGGGCTTTGAGCAAAGCCATCCCTCTCCTGGGCTTTCAGACAGCTCAGAAATCTGCCCAGAAAGGCACAGATGCTCAGTTCTGCTTGTGTAATGGGGTGTGGGAACGGCCTTCGGAGACAGGGAAGAGCCACAGCCAGGAGAACGATTGGATAAAAGGCCACTGAGCCCGCAGCAGGAATGTGGACAGGGCAAGAGGCTCAGAAGGGACCCTCCCCAGTTTCTTGGCATGTAAAGGCGAGGGGGGAGAGATGTCCTTTCAGACTTGCAGGATTCTGTTAATGGAACCTTACAATAAAGTAGAATTAGCTCATCTGGGCGTGCTTCCTGCCTGGACTACCTTGCAAGGCTGACAGTTTGCCTCTGACTGTAAATTAGAAGGATCCCTCTGTCACCTTTCTCGTTTGTTTTAAATTGGCCAGCTGCAAGAGTGTCCGCTGGAGGATTTTTTTACGTGCTGTATCCCAAAAAGAGGGGGGGCTTTGTGCAGTTTTGGCTGCCACCTTGACTCTTCTGACCTCTCCTGCAGACGCCCCTGTTTGGCTTCAGTCCGTCTCATTACCCTGAATTACTGGGTAATAATCTTATCTTCACAGTCCTTGGAGAGAGCTCTGGGTGTTGAAAGGTGGCAGCGATCTCTCCTAGAGTGACTGGAAGACCAGAGTTGGTGCAAGCAAGAGCATTCCTTGCTGAATTGTGGGAAGAAATAAAAAAACTAGCCCTGTGCAAGGCCTTTTTTTAAAAAAAAAAATTTTTGTAACAAAACAATCTTTAATCTTAGAAAAAAAAGAAACTTAAAAAAATTAAAAATACAAACTAAGAACACAAACTAAGGAGGAAAAGAGAAAAAAAATCAATCTTATGTTTTCAGTTTCCTTCAAGGCGGTTCAGTTTAGGCCTGAGACTGTATGCTAGAGGAGTTGCCAATCTTTATTGGTGAGGATTAAAACTGGAAGAGTTTTAATTTTTATGATGAAAGATTATACAGGTAGTCCTCGACTTATGACCACAATTGGGACTGGAACTTCTGTCGCTAAGTGATGCAGTTGTTAGGTGAGTCGCACCCAATTTTACGACCTTTTTTGCTGCAGTCATTAAGTGAATCCAGCTTCCCCATTGACTTTGCTTGTCGGAAGCTGGCTGGGAAGGTTGCAAATGGCGATCATGTGACCGCAGGACACTACAACTGTTGTAAATGCATGCTGGTTGCCAAGCGCCTGAATTTTGATCACGTGACTGCGGGGATGCTGTGGTGGTCACAAGGCAAGGACCAGTCGTAAGTCACTTTTTTCAGCACTGCCATAACTTCAAATGGTTGTCAAATGAATGGTCGTAAGTTGAGGACTACTTGTAGGTCTGATCCCAGGACATGATGCCATGGCTCTACAGGGCTGAGAAGAAGCTAGAGTTGAATTAAGATTCCTCTACCCTCCAAATGAATGTCCCTTTGTTTATTGCTCATGGTCTTATCAAAAGGGGGTGTTTCACAGTAAAATGGTTCTGGTGGACCTTGAAGGTCTTCCAGTCTAACCCCCACAGCCTCGCTTCACATCTGGCCAACTCTCGTTTTTAGGCTTGTGGGGTGGACTACGAGGTGAAAGCCTTCTGTGCCGAGACCCTGGAGGAGAAGATTCACAAGAGGTGGGTCGGGGCAGGACTGGGATGTTGCAGCCCACCTGGTGGACTTCTGTTGCTCTGGCTGCTGGCAGGGTGATGGGTGATGGGTGAGGAGGCGTGGAGGAACTCCGAGTCCTAATCTAGATTAGCCACAGGGGCGACCAAAGGCAGGAGCAGGGGGCCATCAAGTCTTGTAAGAGAGAAAAACCGGACAACTAAGGAAAAGGTTTCTCGGATGTGGCGTGAAAGCTGCCATTTTGTACTGAACATCTGTTGGCGTCTCCAGTGGCGTCCCAAATCCTAATTTTGCCCCCGACTGAATAAAATATGAATTATTGTGAGCGTCTTCAGGGTTTTTTTTAGCAGGAAGGTGTTATTAGGGGTTTCTTCGGGGTGTTCAAAAAGGTCAAGATGGTGGCCGTGATGGCGGGATGGAAGCTGTGCCTCTTTTTTACGTGTGTCACACATGCGACACACGTAAAAAAGGGGCACAGCTTTCATCCCGCTGTCGCGGCCACCATCTTGACCTTTTTGCTCCCCTCAACAGATACCTGAGTGTTAAATAAAGGTTGTAAACAGATCAATAAATAAATGAAAACATGATTATAACATATAAGCAAGAAAGAAGCCACAGAAAAAGCCATGGAGTCCTTGGTGCTCTCTGAGCTTGGTCTTTTGCTGACATTTCATGACCCATCTTAGGGAACATCATCGGTGCTGGTGAGTGTGGGGTTTGCTGCCTGTAGACATACAGTATCATCAATATGTTGCATCTCCCATTTGGGTCTTCTGGGTCCTGCAGTCCCAAGACCACTGAAGGTGCCAGTTTAGGGGAAGGCTGGTGTAAACATGGCATGCCGTGACGATGTCTGCCTTGTCCCCAATCGCTGCTGCAGGAACTCTGTGCGCCTGGTGATCCGCAAGGTCCAGTATGCGCCCGAACGACCCGGCCCGCAGCCCATGGCTGAGACCACCCGTCAATTCCTAATGTCCGATAAGCCCCTCCATTTAGAAGCATCGCTGGATAAAGAGGTACTTGAGTTGGGCAACTTCTGTTTGAGTTCACGGTGTACAGCTAGGCAAGTGGGGAGGTCCAGGCGTGGTCTGGGGTGGTGGAACACCCTCTGTTGCCTGAGGACCACTCCCGATTCCTGGTCTGGAGCGCACCCTGCAACCCCAGCAGCATTCGTGCCTTGGGTCCCAGGGGGTGTGTCTGGTTGGGGCAGCCAGAGGAACTGGGTGGAGTTGGGGAGCCTTAGAAGAGGGTTTTGCAGGGGAGAGGAAAGCTCAGACAAGAATTTATGGGACTCCTTCGAAGAAGTTTCGACTTGAAGGCTTCCTCGGTTGCTTGTCTCCCCACAGATCTATTATCATGGAGAACCCATCAATGTTAACGTCCACGTGACAAACAACACCAACAAGACGGTCAAGAAGATCAAAATCTCAGGTATCGAGGAAGCTTCTCCTGTCTCGGCCTCAGGCGGTGGGATCTGGGAGAGAAGGCAGGCTCTCCCATCTAGAATCTTGTCCTCCACCAGGGTGGGACGTGGAAGGACTTTGCAGAGTTGTGGGTGCAAAAGGAGCTCAGTTGTCCATGAATGACAGTTGGGTGGATGACATCAGGCTATTGAGAGCGATGTTTGTCACTTTGGTCTCCAGGCGGAAGGGCAGGAAGAGGGTGGATGGAGGAAGGGAGGGAGGGAGGTATAAAATCCAGACAACTTTGAGAGCAAGAACTTGATCTGAATCAATCGTCACCAGATTTTTTAGGCCTGCGCCCCAGTTGACAAACTTGGGAATTGGTGATGATGATGGTCCCTTTTTCACATGCACTTTTTTTTTTTACATACATACCCCATTAAACAAAATCTTTCTGCCCAGCTACCTGGTAGACCTTTGCAGAACTCAGCTGATTTTGAGAATCCCTCTTCTCTTCTCTTCTCTTCTCTTCTCTTCTCTTCGCTTCGCTTCGCTTC